GCACCCTCACGCTGCCTCTGACCAGTTCCCTGGCACCCTCACGCTGCAGGCTTCGGCTTTGCACCAGCACTGGCAATGTTTCCACTCTCCGGGCCAGAGCTGCTAAGGGCTGTTTCCAGCACCCACAGCTCCAGTAGCCTGTGCCTGGAAATCAAATACACACGACTACAGACCTTGTGAGAGAAATTGTGTAACTTAAAAACAGGTAAGAGATAGTGTTTAGCGTAAGCCAAAGGGCGTGGCTACCTTAAACAGTTAAGCTCTTCATTTATTAGAAATGATTATTCCTTAAAAGGGGGCCAGTGAGACGACTCAGCGGGTCAAGGTGCTGGCTGGAAAGCCCAGCAGCCTGCATTTGATCCCCAGGACCCACAAGGCAGAACGAGAGAACTGACTCCTAGAAGTTGTCCTTGGACCTCTGCACGTCACACACACACACACACACATACACACACACACACACACACACACACACACACACGCACGCATGCACGCACAGAGGAGGGAGGAGAGAATTGTGAAAATAAGAGCATTAAGTGCTATACAGTCCATATGAATTGGGAACTATAAAGTCAATGACATACAGCAAAAGTAACACACATATTGAACAAAAATCCCCAAAACAGCGAGTATGTAGCTGATATTTGACACCGGTAAACAGAGAGGTCCCGGCATTTTGCTCTCGTGGAGGGTTTCTTGGAGGGTAGGCACAGACCGAAGATGGAAAGAGTGCATGATGAGAATTTGAAGTAGCTCACAATAGCTCGATTGCATCATCCCTCCCCTCGGCTTTCTGCTGGACCTAGGAGCCCTTATTCCCACTCCTCTACTCCACCTGTCCCGGCCATTATCACCGCACAAGAACCGTGTCGGGTCTTCCCCAGACCCGCTGCGGAGTGGGGACAAGGCTAAGCTGAACCCCACTTATCTTCACTTCTTAGCAGCTCACCCTTTGTATGTGTTTCTAATCGCTCCAGCCACATCTACCAGTCAGGACCATACTTTAAGAAAGTAAAGAAGCTGGGCGGCGGTGGCACACACCTTTAATCCCAGCACTCGGGAGGCAGAGGCAGGCAGATCTCTGTGAGTTCGAGGCCAGCCTGGTCTTCAGGGGCTAGTTCCAGGACAGGCTCCAAAGCTACAGAGAAACCCTGTCTCGAAAAACAAAAAACAAAAAACAAACAAACAAACAAACAAAAAGAAGCTGGGGCTGGAGAGATCTCAGTGATTAAGAGTACTGACTGCTCTTCCAGAGGACCCAAGTTCAATTCCCAGCATTCACATGGCCAGTAACTACTGTCTGTAATTCTTAAGATCTGACACCCTCACACAGACATGCAAGCAGGCACATAAAATAAAAATAAATAAATTTTAAAAATTAAAAAATAAATAAGTTATATATCAGAATAAAAGCAACTGAATGATAATATTTCTTATTTTTCCCCATTTTTTGAGATGTGTTTTTGTTGGTGCTATTTGAATCTCACTATGAACACCAGGTTTGCCTAGAACTCAGAGAGATCCCCCTGCCTCTGCTTCCCAGGAGCTTGGGATTAAAGTCACGCATCACAGTACCTGGTCTACTGTATTAAGTCTTCAATTCTCCCACAATATTAGCGTTTTACATGAGTCAACCCATGAAACAAACATTGCAGAGGTGCATTCTGTAACACACTGTGCTGAGGGTCAGAAAATCCCTTTTAAAAGTTGGCATTCATATTAGAGTGAGTTAGTTCCTTTGTTGAAGAGGAATGTGGGCTGGGGATATAAGTAAGAGAGTGCTTGCCTCGAATGCATGATCCTGGGTTCCGGAGGGAGGAAGGGGAGAGAAGACACAAGATGGAAAAGGCAATAAATCTACACAAAACCCAAACTGGACAGGCTGCTGAATGCCAGTCAAAGGCACAGCTAGGTAAAAAAATATAAAAACAGTTTGCTTGCTGCTAGCAGGATTCACGGAATACATAACAAAGCTACTTGCTTCTTTCTCTCAGGAACAGTGCAGGGGGTGGTTAACTGATTATGCTGACCTTTGATCTGCTCTTGCCTGTAATTAGTATATATGCTGGCTGAGAAATAAACTTAGGGCTGGGTGGTATTGACCTTCAGATCTCTTGGATCTATCCTGTGTTTCCTGTCTCAATTTTCCTCAATCTGCCATTTCCTCAATTCTCACGGCCCTTTCCCGGTACCACAGCTGACTTTGTGGGAGCCGGCTCTGACATAAAACAAAACAAAAAACTGAAGTTTTGAAATATTGAGAAACAGCCAGGCATGGTGACACACCATTTTAGTCCCAGCACCCGGGAGGCAGAAGCAAGTAGATCTCTGCAAGTACAAGGCCAGCCTGGTCTACACAGGGAATTCCAGGATAGCCAGGGTTATGAAGAGAAACTCTGCCTCAAAAAACAAACAAATAAAAAAGAACTTGAGATTTAACAGAGAAAGTTGGACAGAAAGAAATGGAGATCCATTCAAGCCCAAGACGAAATGTGAACACACAAAGCAGGGCTTCCTTTCTGTAGCTCCCATTTCTCCATCATATACTTCCACATCAAGTGACCCGAAGTGCTGACTCACCTAGACCTTCTCAATTCGAGTGCCTCACAGCAGGACCCAGTGCATTCATGGAGGCTGCGTGGCAAATGGAAAAGCTTAGTAAGTCAAACAGTAAGTGCTATAAGGGTGAAAAATAGGTCACTGCAAATTAACAGTCATTGTGGAAACTTTTAAATACCAGGCGCTGGGCCCATACAATAAATTAAACAAGAATCTACAGTAATGGGCTTGATACTCCTGTTCATTAATGGTCCCTAGATAGCTGTAGTCCACAGTCAAGTAGAAGAACCATAAACAGAGTGGCCAGGGGATATTACTTACAACAGTTCTCAAGGGCTGGTGGTACTAAAATAAATTTGGAATTATACCTTCCTGCGTTCTCTTGGGACAACTCGATTCTGGGGCACTTGGGACAACCATTCCATCTTCAGCGACCCTATCCCTTCGTTTCCTTACTCAGTAACAAATTACAGCCTTTCTCAACCCAGGGGAGATAAAAGAATACCAGACATGGAAAGAAGGTAGCAAACCCAGTCAAAAGGGGGCACAGCCCAGCATTGCAGAGTTAAAGTACGGTGTGCCATCCCCTTCAGAGAAATCAGACAGCCACAAGGGTCTAGACATTCTGCCAGTTTCAAACACACCCTGTTCCAAATGACAAATAAAGGCAATGGGAGGAGGACACGACCACCCGAGCAGCGTGATTCTTTATCTGTTGGAAATATGGTAACATTCTTCCTTTGAAGTAAATGATGAAAAGCAAGAGGAAAATTACAATTTCATATTCATTATGCAAAATTCTGCCTCTTAATCCCCTTAGCACCACCGCCCTTCTGGATTTGGATCAAGGAGAAAGTCAAAAATTCAACATTACACTGAGTCCCGTGACATACTCGTTTCTCCCTGCATGGTTACCCTGATGTGTCCAAAACTGCATCTCAGTAAGGCCAGACTAGTCCAAAGTATCACAGGATAATCAGCCAAGAGACAGCTGGCTCCCAGGGCAGCGATGAGATTAGTGATAACGGCTGAGAGCTGTGTCGCCAAGCTCTCTGCACCGGGTGTAAGAAAAGAAAGGAGTTACGGGGTAGGAGGGGGTACAGGGGCTTGCCTGCGTTCTCGGGTGCGGGCCACCTCAGATGCCAGCTACCGGGTGCAGCGGCGCTAGAGCAAGTAGAGAAACTGAGGATGGAGATGCTCAACCTCGCCCCGCCCCATCTCTGCAGCGGCTGGGATCCTCTGGTCCCCAGCTGCCGCAGCCCAGGGCTTGAGGATCTGCCTGCCCTTTCCATCGGGGCCTCTACTCCGGGGCCTTGACACGCAAACCGGACTCCCGGAGCCGCAGCTCCCTACACCGGGTTGGAGTCGCCAGGGACGCGGGGCGGAGGGGTCTCGCGTGGAACACAGGGCTCAGCAGCCGAGGGGCGCACAAGGCACGCGGCACCTGGCGCTCCCGGGACAAGCTCCGCCCCGCTCCGCGCACAGTCGCAGCTCGCACTCACCGGGTCTCGAGTCTCACCCGCCGCTCGCCCTTCGACAGGACGTGAACGCCCCGATGGGTGGTGTCTGCACCAGGCCGTTCTCTCCCGGCTTCCTGACCCGGCTACGGCACCTCACCCCCGACCCCCGGCTATGATTGGTCCGACTACGGGAGGGGCGGGGCAAGGATGTTGACGGACAGCCGCGCAAACAGGGTGCTGTGCCCGGAGGCGAGGACAAGGAGTTGGCACCGCCTGTGCTACCCGCTGCCACAGGGCTCTTGTACTCTAGTGACTGCACCTCCCGCACTCTGGCCCAAGGGCTGGTCCCCACTGGAGACTCAAATACTAAGGACCTTGGATATCAGCGTTTCCCTGGAGCTTCCCTCAGCAGGATTTTCTCTGCCTGAGAACTAGCCACAAAGCAATCCCTGCAGCGGTGGAGTTGCTGGTCTCAGAGAAACACGGTTTGCAGGAGCATGGACATAGCAAGGCCTTGAAGCTTCTTTCTCTGAAGTTAGTCTCTTGGCAAAAGTGCCAAAATACTCCACCCAACCCCACCCTCGATTCTTGATTATCCTAGTTTGGACATTTAACTGGAGAAATGTCAGAAGCAGCTTGGAGAAACTGAGGAGCTGAGAGGAATGCCTAGAGGATAGGAGAGCCTATGTGGACAAAAAACAACCTGGCTCGGCTGTGTTTCTCATAAGTCCAGTTCATAAAGCATAGTAGGGTTAGTCTTTTAACACGAGAAAAAATGCTGGAGGTGGGGAGACCCGCTGCCAGACTGCTCCCAGGTTGAAGAAGAATTAATATGAATTACAACCGGCATTAATTTTCTTTATATTTATTGACCACAGTACTATAAGAGCCTGAGATCAGGAAGGACTCTGAGGCTAGGAACTAGGAGAGTGGTAGTAACTTTCTCTGATGTGTACAAGGGTGTAGGCTTGATCCCCGTTGTCATCATCAGCTGGCTGAACAGGTTTCTGTTTTCTCAGGCATGCACTGGGCAGCAGTGAGTGGCAGCAAGTGGCATCCTCTTTTGTTTGTCTTTGTCCATGCCTTGAGTATCAAACCCCTCTTAGTGCTATAGTCCTTGATCAGAACCCTTAGCCCTTGACAAGCAGCCTGTATTACAACTCTCAGTCTGAGAAGGGTCTGTGACTTTCTGGCCTGGGATTTGCTAGCTCTCTGGTTCTAGAGACCAGGACTAGCATGCTGTCTTTGTTAATTCCTTACAGTCTTTTACCAGCTTTCAGTTCTGGTTTTTTCTACTTCCACTTCCTGTCTTCCTGCCCTGGAGGTTCTTCAGCTGTTCAAAGCTTCCTTGGCTGTCAAGTAAGCCACTGCCTGACCCATTTCCACAACTTGATAACTGTTGCTGAGCTGACACTGGGTACTTGCCTCTGTTGGGACTATCTTCTGGGACTAGGGCACACACCACAGCTCCATCGTTTGGAGTCAGCTGGGTATAGAAGCACACATCTTTAGTTCCAGTACTTGGGAAACAAAGGCAGGCAGATCTCGATCAGTTCAAGGCCAAAATGGTCTACATAGTGAGTTCCAGGACAGCCAGAACTACACAATGAGACCCTGTCTCAAGAAAAGGAAAAAAGGAAAGAAGGGAGGGAGAGCAGAAGGGAGGGAGGGTAGAAAGGAGGGAGGGGAAAGAAAAGGAAAGAAGGAGTATGAGGTGCCAGACAAGGCCTGTCATGATCACTTAGGCATAGGCCTCATATGTTGTGTGCAGAAATAAGCAAGGATCAGCCCAGGCGGTGGTGGCACACACCTTTGATCCCAGCACTTGGGATGCAGAGGTATGTGGATCTCTGTGAGTTTGAGGCCACTCTGGCCTATGAACCAAATTCCAGGACAGCAAGGATTGTTACACAGGGAAATCCTGTCTCGAAAAATAAAATAAAATAAATCAAGGATCACTAGCCAAAGGGCATCTGCTAGTGACTTGGAAAGGCAGGCACCTCCACGGGCAAAGGCCTGTGTTAATACACCTTCACTGTATCCATTCCTTTATTTTCAGCTAAAACTTTTTGATTCAGGGATGGAGAGATGGCTCAGTGGATAAGAGCACCCAGGGTAGATTCCCAGCACATACATGGTGTCCCACAACCACTTGTAGCTCCAGTTCCAAAGAACCTAATGCCCCCCTCTGGCCTCGATAAACACAGACGTATGATGACATATCAAACTAAATACCCATATACATGAAATAAAAATAAATCTTTAAAAAAAGAACAGAAAGGGGCTGGAGAGATGGTTCAGCAGTTAAAAAGCCTGGTTGCTCTCCCAAAGGACCCGGGTTCAATTCCCAGCACCCACATGGCAGCTCACAACTGTCTGCAACCCCAATTCCAGGGAATCTGACACCCTCAAACCAAACGCACATAAAATAAGGTTAAATAAATGTTTTTAAAAACCAGCAAAATTGTCATCCAAAAAAATTGTTTACAAAACTTTATAGAGCAACTGAGCATGCCCAGAGGCATCTCTGCCCATCACTGTAACATGACCTAGAGCTAAGCACACCTAAAATAATGTGTGTCTACCGTTTCTTTTAAACTATGACCTTAACCCGATCATGTTCAGGAATATACTCCTTAATGCACTGCGTGTGCTTCCTAGTGGACTCACCCTGCTAGGAATATGAAGAGATGCCTTGGATAAAATCCCCATGCTTCCTTTGTCGAGAAAGAGAGAGGCTGTGGAACCAATGACTCTCATACTCTCTTTGTACAATGTTAACACTCTGGACTTTTTGAACTAAAACTGTTCTAACTTCACCAACACATGGGCATGATGAGTAAGAACCGTCATAACACTGAAATAACCAGCTGTTGCACCCAAAGGTATAAAGTTTTATTTAAGATTAGACAAACTCAAGTACGAAGGTAGAGTACAACATGAAACAGCCTTCATCAAACAGACGCCAGTCACCTTAGATATACACTATTTATAGTAACATTTTTTAAAAATCAAAATAGTACAAAGTCAAATAATTTCTAAACTCTTATTGCCAACATCAGTGATATTCTGACACACAGGGCTGCGGTATAGTTAAGTAGGACGTGCTTGCCGGGAACGCCAGCACCACACACCCAGATTATTACAAAACATTCAAAGAAACTGAATAGCCACTAAAATCAATAAAAGAATTCAAATTCAGTGTGATTTCTATTGAGTCACAGATGAGAAGCACCTCATTCGAAAACGACAGTGATTAATTTTCCTCCAAGGCTATGAGGATGGCCTTGTTTACTTGATTTTTAATTTTAATATGGCACAATTGGCTTTATCATGAAAAGTTAGAATTTAATGTTTCTATACCTGTAGTCCAAACTACTCTGGAGGCTGAATCAGGAGGATTATTTGAGGTCAGGAGCTCAAGATCAGTCTAGGCAACATAGTGAGACCCCACACACACATCTCAAAAAAAAAACCAAAAACTTTTTTAAATGTTCCTTATGAACTACTTCTGCTTCACTTCAAGAATAAGGGTACTATGGCTGGGCATGGTGGCTCATGCCTTTGATCCCAGCACTCAGGAGGCAGAGGCAGGCAGATCTTGGTGAGTTCCAGGACAGCCAGAGCTTTATAGAGAGATGTTGTCTCAAAAAGAGAAAGAGAAAGAAAAAAGAAAAAAATTAAGAGAAAGAAAGGAAAAAATTACTAAATATTTAAAGTTGAAAACGTAACTACAATAAACTCCTTTTAACACAAGTGGAGAAAAATAAGAATATATATTAAACAACCATGTAACCAAGCCAGTTTTTTTCTTTTCTTTATGGATGAGGAATAATCCAATGACTGTATTTCTCCTTCTTACTTCAGAAAAAAAAATATATTATTGTTATAAATCCAATCTTAATACTTTACATGAAAAAATTACCAGGAGACATAGTATAATATTTAAATCCTGCATACTCCTGAAAGTATTTCTGAAAAGTATTACTAGACTTGTCTTAAATAGATAACAGGAAAGTACACTATTATGATGTTATATATTTAAAATAAATAAAGGAAAAACATATACTCAAGAATGGCACCCATATAATTAATAATTAAAATAATCTAAAATAAATAAAGGAAAAACATACACTCAAGAATGGTGCTATGTAATTAAAGAATGAAGTTATTTACAAATACACAACTATGTGACCAAACATTTTCTAAAACATGCATAGTATGGTGTCCTTTTATAGTTATACATAAAAAGCAAACGACTTGAACATTATCAGCTGTCATAATTAGACCTTTCTCACACCAAGAGAGTAAAATTCTGATCTGTTGTCCTATAAAAGGCAAGATGAAACATCAAAATCAGTGTTTCTTGAGAAAACTGTATCTACTTTGGCATCCTATAATGCTACCTGTCAACAAATAAATGTAGTCCCAGACAGTGGGTCTTTCCTAAAGTTTTAACTTCATTATTGCTGTTTTTTGAGACAGAATCCCAGGTAGCCCAGGCTGGTGTCTGAATCTCACTTCTTAGCTAACGGTGGCCTTGAACTCCTGACCTCTCCATCCACATCCAAGCACTACGATCACACGATCACACGTACATGCCACCATTCCCTACTGTTATTGTTGCTCTATAAACAATTGTAATGAAATCACATTCTTTTTTGAGAACATTCATTCAAAGTTCTGAAAGATTTAGCTGTTTGCTACAACTCTGCCATTGAAGGTATCCCTTAAAAGCGTTGTTTCCTCTTTAAAATGCAGAGACTTTTGCCCTCACTAAATGGAAAGGTTAACAGAGAAGGAATAAGGAAAGTTTGGAACACAGTAGCATGTCTCCACAGTTTACTACTGACTGCTACAACCATAGACAAGTCGGATATCACCCCTGGGCTTCTGTTCCTACTCAAAACGAAGAAGTCATTCCCTGCTGTGTGGCCAGCAGCTCTTTTGAACTGTAGTATAATAACAGTAGTAGTAGTGATAATAATAATAATAATTTCAGTAGATAATTTTAGGACTCCTTCTGATTCTCACATGATATGAGCTTATGTTTCTGCAGTATTCCAATAGATAATCAAATACTCCATAAACAAGAGAACTTCTATGAGTCAAAATAGCACAACTGAACAAAAGCTCTCCTGTCAGAAAAGCCCATGTCCAAAATCCAGCTCCCCAAACATTACCTGATTGATCTTCAGTCAATCTAATAAAGAATACAGAGTCACATAATTACTATTTCTTAGTTACATAAATTACTTTTTTACATAAATTACTTTTAAATTATATAAACTAATAAAAATATTAAGTCTATGCCATAGTTTTTCTACATTCTGATGTACAGTATTCTCATCTACATTCAAGATACTCTACAACTCAAAGTGTGCTACTTAATATTCTCATACTTCCAAAATCTAGTAAAACTAAAAAAAAATAAAGCAGAACATTAATAATTATCATATTCTGCCAGGTTTTTCATAAAAATATGTTGAATGCCATTTTTCAGACAAGAAAAACAGCAAAAGAAAAATAAATTCTGCTGAGAATGCCGATCAGATCAAATGGCTGTATCTGCCATTACTTAGAAAAAGGAGGAAAAAGCCAGGCAGTGGTGGCATGCGGGGACCAGGCAGGACAGAAACCCACGACAACAGAATGGCGTGCCAACATGGGGCTGATCGAATCTACTTAAATGCCTGAGAAAGCTTGGAAAGTAATTCTAGACAAAAAATAATAGAGTTAAACACAGCTTATTGATAGCAGCATTTTCTCGGTTTTGCTCTGCTTGCTAGAGGCAAGCAAGTACTCTCATTTAAGACAGGCTTCCTGTCTCAGCTTTAGCTACAAAACTTTGCAGCTCTTTTAAGAGATCCTGCCATGAAACACTTAAATGGTGTCGATGAAAAGCTGACCACATGCTTTTTGGTGGTGGCAGGGACCTTGAAATGCCATAGAGTTGTGGCAATAAACAGGGTTCTGGCTGGTACCTCTGACATGAGGCTGGAATCTCAGAAAGCTAAGAAATGGTCTGGATCCAGCTGCCAAAGCAACAGCTTTAATTCTAGCCATATTGCTTAGCAAATTAAAGACTCAATGTGGTCAGAAAAAGAGAGATATACAGTAAAGAGAGATTCAAAGATAAAGAAAACCACTAAATGTTTTACCCTGTATTAAAAATATATGCAGGCTTAGGAGAGAAAAGAAAAAGGTTAAAGTCCTTAAAATTAAAAAAGAGAGAAAGAGAAGTTGGGTGTGGTGGCATACACTTTTAATCCCAAAACTTGGGAGGCAGAGGCAGGCAGATCTCTGTGAGTTCAAGGACAACATAGTCTACAGAGTGAATTCCAAGATAGCCAAACATACACAGAGAAACCCTGTCTCAAAAAGCCAAAAACTAAAAATAAAAGAAATAGAGGTTAAAATAAAGCCACGTAAAGATGGAAAATACACAGAGAATCTGGATACTGTATGTTTTTATGTTCTCTTTGAATTGTTTGAATGCTGAGGAAGGAGTAACAGCTGCTAAAAGATATTTGTTTATAAATGCTGCTGAATTAATCCAAGATAGGTATTTTGAAAATAACCTTGACTTCAAAATTGAAGTCAAAAAATATGTTACTTTGGAGAAGAGGTTTTGCTTTTGTTTCCACAGAAAATGAGAGGCTATGGATTCATTCTGAGTTAAGAAAAATCAGATTTGATCAAAGAAGACCACCTGAGAAATCTGATAGGAGCAGATGGCCCAGATGTCTGAGTTCTACATCCAGAACAGATTCAAGACTGTTGCCTGAGATGATCAAGCCTCACAGGATACTCCAGTCATGACTTGATGATAATTATAAATTTTCTTAAGGTCCCCATGAGATTATCAGTGCCCCCAATCAGTAGGAATTAGCCTGTAAAACTATGCCCACATTCCTACCCCCTCCAAAAAATGGACTATGGATATTTTCCTTTGTTTAGAATGTTGGTTATAAGTTGTTATGGCTAATGGTGAGGAGAAAAGCTAAACAAAGGATATTAGATTCAGAGTTCTTGTTTTTTAAATAAAAGGAGGGGGAAGTGCTGTGGGACAATGGTCTGTATCCTGTCAATTATATTTTCAATAAACGCTGATTGGTCAGTATCCTGGCAGTAAGTATAGGCAGCAACCAGGCAGGAATTAGAGGCGGGGTGACGAGAACAGGAGAATTTTGGGAGGAAGAAAACTTGGTCCACAGTCCTTTCCCAGCCACAGAAGAAGCAAGATGTAACTGCCCTGCCGAATAAGGTACCGAGCCATGTGGCTAACACAGATAAGAATAATGGGCTAATATAAGTTGTAAGAATTAATAAGAAGCCTGAGATACTGGGCCAATCTGTTTATAACTAATGTAGACTTCTGTGTGATTTCTTTGGGACTTAACAACTGCAGGGACCAGGTGGGACAGAACCCCCCCCCCAACAGTGGCACATGCATTTTAGCATTTTAACCCAGCACTTGGGAGGCAGACAGTGGATCCCTGTCAGTTCAAGGCAAGCCTAGTCTACAAAGTGAGTTTCAGGACAGCCAGAACTGTTACACAAAGAAACCTTGTCTCGAAAAACCAAAAAGGAAAGAAGGGAAAAGGGAGGGAGGGAGGGAGGGAGGGAAAGAGAGAAAAAACAAGGATGAAGATGCTAACATAAACGTACTCAGGGAACCTGAAGCGTGGCACTTTGGCCACTCTTCCAAAAATTAACCAACAGTGAGACAGGTTTGGTACTAGTACAGTGAGTTTTTCTTTAACTGTGGGCAGCAAATGAGGCACTTAACTACAAAAATAGAAAAATAAGAATATTTCTTATATTAAAAAAGGAATGAAAGATAGGGCTGAAGAATGGTTCAGTAGTTAAGGTACTTTACTGCTCTATCAGAGAACTGGAATGTGGATCCCAGCATCCACATGAATAGCTCACAAACACCTGTAACTCCAGATTCAAGGACAAACCCACAGTCTCTCTCTTTCATACACACATGCACACAAATGCACACACACATACACAAACATACACTCTATCGCACACACACAAACACACACGCAAATTAAATCCATAAAAGAAATGCAGAATTATAAAAGGTAATTATTATTCAGAAAGTTAAACTGTCAGCTTTTATCCACCATGCATTCAATGTAACACACACTATATAAGAGAAAATATTTTGAAGACAGGACTGCTATTCTGCTTATAAAACACAGAAAACATGTCCCTTTTGAGGGATTCTGGATTTCTGAGAATGAATGTGAGCCTTCTCCACCTAAGTGTTATGTATTTATAAACTAGGGAAGTATTGTTCACCATAGTGCAGAAATATTCCTGTCCGCAAAAAATACCTTGTGGTCCTCAGCTTTATTTCAGAAGGATCAGAATTTTTATTGCATGTATCTTCAGTTAAGGGGCTCTAATGGCTGTAACAGAATAATTGATGATATTTAGCACCTAAGTTTAGAGAACAGAAGTATTGCCAGAATTGTGAAAGTTGCTTGTACTTATATAGAAAAATCAGATGTGTGTTGTGCTCTTTAATGAGCAGAACATTCTAAAAGATAAAATGCCAGGATCCCAATTGTCACCTTTGATTTCAGATGTACCTTCAATATTCAAACACAGTATTATTATTCCTGAAAGATTTCTTAGTTTTATCTTTCTTTCCTTTTTCTTTTTTTTCTTCATTTTTTTTTTAGTTGTTGCTGTTTTTATTGTTTTGTTGTTGAGTTTTTTGGTCTGTGTGTTTTGAGGCAGGGTCTATAATTTAGCCCTGGCTGACCTGGAACTCACTCTGTAGACCAGAGGCTGTTCTTGAACTCATAGAGATCTGCCTGCCTCTGCTTTCCAAGTGCTGGGATCAAAGGCATTCACCACCAGGCTCAGCCTGGCTTATTTTTTTCTTAACTATAAATAAATTTTCTTTCAAATATGGCTTTTTTCAGAGATTAGATAAAAATTCTTTTTAAAAATCCATTCCCAATCTATCAGTAACAGGATTTTAAATTTCTTCACTATGAAACAAAGGTCAAGAGTGAAGTTCAGTGGCACAGTATCTACCTAGCACGCACAGGGCCCTAGATTGGGTCTCCAGTCTCTCTCTCTCTCTCTCTCTCTCTCTCTCTCTCTCCCTCTCTCTCTCTCTCTCTCTCTCACACACACACACACACATACACACACACACAATAAAATGAATAGCTTGGGTCCTTCTGGTGAAACACATATAGAAATAAAAGAACATAATGATGAATGCATATTGATTTCTTACAATATGTTTCTTCCTAAAATATTGGCACATAAATGTGAGCAGGCTAAAAAAGCACATAATGAAATTATAAAACATTAGACCAGCATTATTTCAAGTGAATAGCCTTAGGTGGTCTTTCTCCATATCAAAGAGAAATACTCTTGCCCAAGTAAGCTTGATTTTAACCTTATATGAAATACTTTACTTCAAAACTGATCCACAAATTAGCTAAAGTTTGTCATGAGGCAGTTTAATCACCCCATTTAAAAACCTTATAATCTAGGATTAAGATGACAGTTGAGTGGCAGAGCAAATACTTAGCATTCTGGGGCTCTGGGTTTAACTGCCAGCACACCATACATACATACACACACACACACACACACACACACACACACACACATCTATAACTCAAAGGGAGGTGGTGCGGGAGAATTATCTGTATTCTGTCAATCATATTTTAATAAAACGCTGATTGGCCAGGCAGTCAGGATAGGCGGGAAAGCCAGACAGGAAGGAGGGGTGGAGCAAAGAGACTGGGAGTATTCTGGAAGCAGAAGCTCTCTCTCAGCCACTCCTGTCCAGACCACCTAAGAGGCAAGATGTAAGCTGCCCAGCTGAGAAAGGTACGGAGCCATTATGGCTAACATAGATGAGAATAATGGGTTAAGATAAGTCATAAGAACTAATAAGTAGCCAGAGCTAAGGGCCAATCAGTTTATAATGTTATGGAGTCCTGTGTGTGATTTTCTCTTTGGGATTTGCCGGCTGTTGGGGTACCGGGCGGACGGAAACCCCAACAAGCCGGCCCTCATACTACAGGGAGGGAAGACATATTTCTAGTTCAAAGAGACTGCCCAGCAAATTTCAGTTGTTCATAATCTTCATCCTAGTAATGCCTTACATATTATATTCCTTACTATGTAATTAAGAACAAAGCTCTCTTGTTTAAATTGCCAAAAATACTTTAAGAAACTGTTTTTGAAAGGAAGTATGTAAAAGAAACATTATTGGTGTAACTAAGAAATAAAGTGCATATGCCTTTTAATATCAATATTTTTAGTACATTAGTACACTCAAAATGAAGACTTAGCTCAATATCTCAAATCTGAAAAATACGGAACAAGAATACAAGTTTTATAGAAACAATACAAAATGGGGGAAAGATTGCCCCCCTGCAAAAGAAAAGAAGCAACTGAAAACACTGAGAAAATCCAAGTGAATCTCTGTTCCCTAGTTAAATCAGACAGGTTACACAGTGACACCCACATGCAACACCTGAAACGTGGCGTCACATTCCGGCTGCTGCCCTTGAGCGTCCGCATTTAACTTACAATTCTCTGGGGTCTGGCTAATCTCATCCTGTAAAGTGAGAGATACTCCAGGAGCCTCGATCTCAGAGGAGGCATCCAACCCTTCCGGGGAACAAGCTACGTGGCACGTACTGTCTCCCGCCACATCGTCAGAATCTGTCCTCTCATCGGCCTCGTCCAGCTGCTGGACTGAAGATAAATACTGTTCGAGCAGGGTGTTGTCCTGCTCGCTGTTGGAGCTTTCCTTGCTACAGTCTGCGTGCTCCCCAGTCATGGCCTCTAAGTTGACGTCTCTGCCGTATTTCACTGTGTCCGTGGAATTCCCCAACATGGAGCTTTCACTGCTTTCTATGGAACTTTTTTCAAAATCCAAAGAATCCTTCAAACAGTGAACTTGTTCTGTTAGGGAGGAATGAAAACCAGAGTCTGGGAATTCTGGAACTGATCTCTCCTGAGGCGCTTCAGCCTCGGCAAGGAGCCAATCAGGATTCTGATCCGAAGAGAGGGCCTGACGCTGTGGAAATATTGGAGCTTCAGGTGACACCAGAGTACTAGATATAGGAGGAACATCAGTGTGCCAGGAAGTCAGGCGCTGCTCCACCGTCCGCTGCCAAGCTTGTAGGGATCTCACCTGTAAAACAGAAGGCGCAGTTTTATCATAGGATAAAAATCTGGCCTTTTTAAAACGTCCTGAGCTTTTTATTTTTCCAGAAGTCATGCAGGTGCCTTCATTCCTTACTCCCCTATCCTCTTCATAGGACTCCCAGCCTAACCAGGAGTGTACAGTGTTTTGTGTCTTGGTAGCAAAGCACAATCACCAGCACAGAGACCAATGCCAAAGCAGTTCTCTTGCTCCACGGGAGAAACAACGGGAAGTACAACAGCATCTTAACTCCTTAACTAAGGGGTCACCAATGTACAAATTATAGATTGACATCTAGTCAATAAGGCCGATTAGCACCTAAATCAATAAATAAATGGAGCCTCTAAAATCAGTTTATTTTAGATATACATGCAGACCAGGGTTTCTACTTATTTTAAAATGTAGTATTTATAACTTTCTAATATTCCCAAATTCTTGACAATATGACCTTTTATATCTTAAGATATAAAAATAATTTCTATTTTTTACTATAAAAATTGTTGAGAGATAGTTCAGAGGTTAAGAGCACTGGCTGCTCTCTTCCGGAGGTCATGAGTTCAATTCCCAGCAACCACATGATGGCTTACAACCATCTGTAAAGACTTCTGGTGCATTCTTCTGTCATGTAGGCATACATGTGGGCAGAATACTGCATACATAATAAATAAATAAACATACAAACTAGTAATTTAAAAATAACACAAAATTTAAAGATAAAGAAATAAATAAATAAATAAATAAATAAATAGTTGTGCCTGGTGGTGGTGGCACATACCTTTAATCCTAGCACTTGGGAGGCAGAGGCAGGCGAATCTCTGCGAGTTCGAGGCCAGCCTGATCTACAAAACGAGTTCTAGGACAGCCAGAGCTGTTGCACGGAGAAACCTTATCTCAAGAAACAAACAAAAATTGCAAGCAAGGTATGGGAGAGATGGCTCAGCAGTTAAGAACATTTGTTACTCTTTCAGAAAACCAGCACCACACAGCAAATCACAACCATCTGTAACTTCATCTCATAGGGTTCTACTTACCCACTTTTGGCCTCAAGGGCATTGCACACACATAGTGCACATGCAAACATGCAGGCAAAACACCCATGCACATAAATTCTTATTTTAAATTGCAAGCAAGAAAGTGATAGAGTAGCTCGGTGGGTACAGCGCTTGCCTAGCATGCATGAGGCCCTGGTGTCGAGGTCCAGAAGGACACAAATCAGTTGTGACGCTGCACACCCCGACTTGTGAGGTACAGGCAGGAGGATCAGGAGTTCAAGGCCAATCCTCAGCTTAGTGAGTGTATGGCTAACCTGGACCACATGAAAACTTACCTCAAAAGCAAAATGAAATAGAATTTTTAGTTTCACTGTGACTAATATCCAAGGTAATTTCTTGTCTGCTTTTTGTGACAGGATTTCACTACATAGCCCTGTGTCATCAAGTACTTTCTGATAGGAGTTTAAAGTGTATCTTTTCAGAATTTTTTTCTATATATTCCCATATACTTACAGTTTTAATATAAATTTTTAATTTTTTAAATTTATGGATGGGGGCACACACATGCTTGTGGAAATCAGAGAACAACTTGCAGAAGTTGGTTCTTGTCTTTCATCATGTGGTCCCAGGGACCAAATTCAGGCTGTCAATATTAATGACATGCACCTTCACCCCGTGAACTAATTCACTGGTCCTCAGCTTTACAAATCAAGTGGATGCTAAGTTCCAGCTTCTACTTTATTAGTATTATTCTGGAGATCTTTCCAGGTCAGTCCATAGTACTACTTTATTTTTTTTAATTGTCCCATAGCATTATATAGTGCTGTTATTTTTATAGTTTATTTAACCACTTCCCTACTAATAGTAAATAAAAAACTTAGAAATTTATTAACTTAATATATAGCTTCTATATAATTACAACAACTTATTTGTTTAGATATTTCTAAGAAAAAAAAGATATTTGTAAGAAATTATTATTAGGAAGTTTTTTTGTTGTTTTGGGATTTTTTTTGTTTTGTTTTTGCTTTTCAAGACAGGATTTCTCTGTGTAACAGTCTTGGTTGTCCTAGAACTCATTTTATAGACCAGGCTGGCCTCGAACTCACTGAGATCTGCCTTCTTCTGCCTCTCACGTGCTGGGATTAAAGGCATGTACTGCCACCACCACCCGGTGATTAGGAAGTTTTCTATTATAATATTAGTAATACTGTAATATTTTAAAGTTTTACAGTACTAGTAAAACCACAGGCTTAAAATGATTTGGGACCGGACAGTGATGGTGCATGCCTTTACTCCCAGCACGCAGGAGGCAAGGCAGCAGGTGGAGCTCTGTGTCTGAGGCCAGCCTGATCCACAGAGTGAGTTCCAGGACAGTCAAGGCTATACAAAGAAACTCTGTCTTGAAAAACCAAAAGGAAAAAAAAATTGGTCTCACTGGAAATTATCCGTGTTCACATACACTAGAGGAATCTGCAGCGAGCATTTACCTCGTTCCAAAGGAATCTGACAGCTTCTTCTCGCACAGAGGCTTTCACGCGCTCTTCATCTCTTTCTTTTCTTAATCTACAGTGATTCAGAAGATCATGTTAGCGTAAGGAAGAAGGCTTTGATGTAAACTTCCTGTTACAACTACTAAGCAAATGCATTAGAAAGAGATTAATAACCTAATAGCAACTGCTTCCACTGTTGAATAGCTAAACTCTAGGCTCATTTAAAATGCTTCAAGCATAACTCAGAATGAACTATGTTTCAAGAAAGAAGCCAAGTGAGATGTAAGTGAAACTGAAATTTACTTATTCATTGTACACAGCATTACCAATGGGGGATATGTGTATGAGTGTGAGTGTGCGTGCACACGCTTATGTATTAAATATCTCTTTAGCTACCCTTCAGGCTCCCAGCCAAACACAAGATGACGGGGCCTAAAAAAGGCTGGTTATTCAAAGCCTCCAAAAGTTAACAGTCACACTCAGGCACTCAGGATCACAGATTGACAATTTTCTCCTAAGACGTTAACCGAGCCCATCCCGCTTGCCCCATCCCTGATTCTCTCTGGGGTCCCAGACTCTCCCGTCTATTACTTGCTCTCATACCACAGTCTTTCCTCTCAATTACAGGAGCCGTCTCGATTCGTAGGCCTGTTCCAAAGCAGAGCCTTCCCTAGTTGTCCACCACCACTCTAAATGTCACCCCCACTTTGTCCTGAACTTTGTTTTGTGTTTATTTTTAATCTTTGCAGTACTGGATCGAGAATCCAGCTCCTAATACCTGCTAGACAAAGAAAGGCTCTACCCCTGAGCCATGCCTCACCCCTTTTCAGAATTTCCAAGACAGTTATCCACTTTCTCTAAACGCTCCAAGACACTCTTCTGTACCAGCCGGCACTCCTGGATTTTAAGCAGCAAACTCCCTCATAGGCTTCCTTTCTCTGAACGTTTTCTCAGCTAAAACAGACTCATCTGTGCAAGCACTGCAGCTCTTTCAATTAGAAGCCCTTTTTTCTTTTATACAAAGTCATCAAACTGCTTCTCACTGCTATTTTCAAGTGATTCTTTATCTAATCCCTTGTTCTGGTTGACTTCTTCTGCAACTTGACACAAATCCAGAAATATCTGGGAAGAGGAATTTCAATTGAAAAATATGTCTCTATAAGATTGGTCTACAGGCAAGTCTATGGGACATTTTCTTGATTAATGATTAATAAGAAAGAGCCCAGGAAACAGGGGGTTACGCCCACTGGGCAGGTGGTCCTGAGTTGAATAAGAAAGCAGGCTGGGGGCTGGAGAAATGACTCAGCAGTTGAGAAGACTGACTGCTCTTCCAGAGGTCCCAAGTTCAATTCTCAGCAACCACATGGTAGGTCACAACCATCTGCAATGAGATCTGGTGCCCTCTCCTGGCATGCAGGCAAACATACAGGAAGAACACTGTATATATAATAAATAAATCTTTAAAAAATAAATAAATAAAAGTTAGGCGGGCAGCGGTGGTGGAGCACACCTTTAGTCCCAGCACTTGGGAGGCAGAAACAGATGGGTCTCTGTGAGTTCATCGAGGCCAGCCTGGACTACAAGAGCTAGTTCCAGGGCAGCTAGTACTGCTACACAGAGAAACCCTATCAGAAGGAGGGAAGGAGGGAAGGAGGGAGGGAGGGAGAGAGGGAGGGAGGGAAGGAGGGAGAGGGGGGAGGGATGAAATAGAGAGGAAGGGAGGAAAGAAGAGGGAAAGAGGAAGAGGAAAAGAGAGGAAAAGAGGGAGGGAAGGCAGGCAGGCAGGAAGGCAGCAAGCAAACAAACAAGCAAGCTGAAGAAGCAGAGCAAGCCATGAGAACAAGTCAGTAAGCAACGTTCCTCCATGGTTTCTGCTTCAGCTCCTGCCTCAAGGTTCAGGTTCCTGCTTTGAGTTCTCACTTACTTCTCAGTGATGAAGCGTGACCAGAGAGTTATACGCTGCAACAATCTATTCCTCCCCAAGTCACTTTCGGTCACGGTGTTTCAGCAAGGCAATAGGAGCCTAAGACATCCCTGAGAACGCCTGCTATCCTAATGCCATCCTAATCTGTTCTCCCACTCCCGCACTACACACCGATGTCTCAGCACCAGGCTTCCTCTCTGCCCCATTCCTGTTACTTTTGTTCTGAAGGCTCAAGTGGATGCTCGACCTAGGAACAACTACCCCGTCACTCTACTGTCACAATCTCACTCTATTCCCAAACATTTTAACACACCACTTTTAAAACTTACTCCAGCCGGGTGGTGGTGGTGGCACACACCTTTAATCCCAGCACTCAAGAAGCAGAGGCAGGTGGATCTCTGTGTGTTCAAGTCACTCACATGAGAAACTAAATAACTGACCCCAATAAAAACCATGGCCTGAAATGCTTGGGAATGTGTCTCAGATTGGCACAACGTTATATCTCAGCGATGGGGAGTAAGCCCTGTACTTCTAAGAGTTAAGTTACCCGAGAGAGGACCTCTGGAGGTCTGCACCTGGTCTGCCCTGGGAGATTTCCCCTATTTCAATCTGTATGCATCTGCTATAAGAAACAGCAACCATGATCAGAATGATTCCTGAGTTCTGTAAGGCCATTTAGCAAATCATGGAACCCGAGGACAGTCCTGAGGGTTCACCAATGACTAAACCTGGCATCACTTTCTCCCCCCTTCATGAGGCAGCTCTCGCTGCTCCGCAGACATTCTGCCCACTGGAAACGAATAGAATATCCTCTCTTGCCTGTTCCTTCTCAGGCTCCTTGCTCCTTTCCCCTAAGCCACCTATAATACTGATAAACACCATACTAATGAACCAATACTAATGAACTCCTAATGTCAGAGGTTGGCAGTCAGCTAAACAAGCATACCCTGGAACTGAGGACTAACTCCTACCTTAGCCCCCAAATTTTAGTCCCCTCGGAATCCCTGGTATTTTTCTCTAGCTCTTATGTCACCTAATTGAGTCTATGTGGACTTCTTCCTCCTCATCCGGTTTTTCTACAGTATCTGCCCCTTGTTGAGAATCATAGATGTCTATGTAGTTCACAGTCACTCAACGTCTTTGGTGATACTACATCTATGTGCTAATTGCTATGCTGAGAATGGAGATGCATGTGGCAATTTGTACTCTCAGGAGGCTTCTGCTATATCACTGGAGATGGGTTCACTGACAGTGGCCACCTGGTGTCATGATCACAGCAGCAGAGTTCTAAAACAACTTCAGAACCCAGCACCCCAAGCCAACCTACCTCCTTACTTCATCTGTCAGGCAGACAATGTGCTCCTGCATTCTGCGCAGCCGGATTTCATAACGTACCCCTTTGGCTTGTGGACTGTAGTTCCTGGTATAAAAGCCCCGCCAACAGGCCTGAAGCTTAGTGGCGGCTGCATTCAGTTTCTGAAGGGTGACTTTATCTTGTCCCAAAGCAAGAGATCTCTCAGTAAAAATTCTGCAGGGAGATTTCTCTGAAGTGGTGGAAGACACGGTTTCTTCACTGTTTGACTCTACATGGGATACGCTATGCCCAACTGACTCCGGAAAAGATGCAAGACCATGGTTATCCTCCTTCAAGATAGCATTGATGAGCACTGACTTGGGACAAGGAAACAGTTCCGCTTTCTCCTTTACTTCTGTACTCATCTTACCTTTCAGCACTTGAGCAGAACTCTCATTTGTATCCCACAAAGGCTTTTCCTTGTCCTTGTCCAAGTCCTGGCTTTCCAGCCTTTGCACGGCTTCACCTGCATCGTCGTCATCATCTTCTAGGCCCAAGCTGATGCCCTGCAGCCTCAGCTCCACAGTGGGTGATACTGGAGACTGCCCTGATGCAACGGGCATAAAAGTGGACTCTGAAGAGAGCAGACTGCAGTTTAGCTTGTCCTCGTCTGTCTGTATGTCTTCCAGGTGCAGGTCATTCCGAGAATATCTTGTAGTGTGTGCAGAGGCTGGGAAGTTATTCTTAACAGCATATAACTGATCATCATTACTGCTTACCCCAACCCAAGAATTGATTTGGAGAACAGGCTCTAGAAGAACCGAGAGAGCATTATTTAAATCATCAAGTATTTGAAGAGCCTTCTTAATTGTATACTTAAAACATGGTTTCCATTTATTTGTGTACTCTGTGTGTGTATGTGTACACATGCATGCCATAGTTTGCATGCTGAGGTCAAAGAACAGCTTGTAGCGGTCAGTTTCCTCCTTCCACCATGTGGGTTTGAGGGACTGAACTTAGGTGGTCAGGCTGGACATCAAGCACCTTTATCCACTGAGCCATCTCCTTAATCCCTTAGTTGTTTACATTTAAGGAAATTTGATCCCTAAAATACAGTAAGCACAATAAACTGACTGCCTCCAACATGACTGAAATGTCAAACCAAACATTTTTAAGAAAATGAATTTTGCAGGGTGTGGTAGCTCACACCTTTGATCCCAGCACTTGGGGGGCAGAGGCAGGTGGATCTCTGTGGGTTCAGGGACAGCCTGGTCTGCAGGGCAAGTTCCCAGGACACTTCAAAGCTACAGAGAAACCCTATCTTGAAAAACTGGGGGGAAAAAAAGAAAATGAATTTCTTGGTACTGGTGTGGAAGGTCCTTCTGCATATGTATTGCTTTTATTGGCTAATGAATAAAGAAACTACGTTGGCCTGTGATAGGGTAGAATAGAGCTAGGTGGGGAAAACTAGACTGAATGCTGGGAGAAAGAAGGCGGAGTCAGGAGACACCATGTAGTCCCACCAGAAACAGACTTTGGATGGAACTTTATCCGGTAAGCCGCAGTCACGTGGCAATACACAGATCAGTGGAGATGGGTTAGCTTAGGATATAAGAGCAAGCTAGAAATATGCTTAAGCTATTGACCGAACAGTATTGCAAATAATATAGTTTCTGTGCGATTATTTCAGGAGTCTGGGTGGCCGGGAAATGAACAAGCGACCTCCTATAACATGGTGCTGGAGAGATGGCTCAGTGGTTAAGAGCACTGGCTGCTCTTACACAGGACCTGATTTTGATTCCCAGAACTTACATGGAGGCTCACAATATCTGTAATTCCAGTTCCAAGAGAGCTGACTCCCTTTTCTGGGCTTAAGAGTAGCTGGAGAGTTGGCTCAGTGGTTAAGAGTTTGTGCTGCTCTGGCAGAGAGCCCAGGGTTCAGTTCCCAGCACCCATGATAGTTCACAACTGTCTGTGACTACAGTTCCAAGGGATCCAATGCCCTCTTCTGCCTTCCACGGACTCCCATATGCATACAATACTCATCCAAACACTCTTATACATGTTGGGAGACTCTGCTTGACAGAGGTTACAGTCTACCATAGCCTGGCAGCTTTCTCTAAGCTTGGCAACATGGAGGACTCCCTCCCACCAGAGAGACTTCCTGCTCTCTCTCTGTCCTTATTTGGAGGCTGTTCCTAGGCCTGGATGCTGGATGTATGTCTCCAGCATGATCCTTGACATAGTTCCCTGTGAACGTTCTTCCCCTGTGGACCACATGGCAATTAAGTGACATGCTCTAGCTGTTTTCATAGGGATGTGCTGCCACTAACCCAGCCTCGCGATAGGAGCATGCTGCTTAGTTCACACTGGTCTCCAGGCTTCCCAATCCTATATATTTACTATTGTCTGGAATAAAGTCAAGCTAACTCATTAAAGTCATCTCCTGGAAGGCTATCTCCATCATACCTACAGCCATCTGAACCCTGTTCCCCACTTCTGCTCCCTCCACCCTCATGGACCAATGCAGAAGAAAAAAAAAAAAGAGGAAGGAAATCAAGAGGATTTGAAGAAGCAGGTTCAAGACTAGCCTGGGAGCTACATGATGAGTTTCAGACCAGTCAGAGCTACATAGAGAGACCCTGTCTGAAACAAACTGTTTCATGACCCAGTAAGTCCAGTGAGTTGAGGAAAAGTACTGGAGTAAGCTGCTCTTAGGCACCGGGTCACAACTTCCTTACCGCTTTCCTGGAAATCTTGAACAGGGCTTGAGCACTCAGGGGTAAGGGGGGCCCTTGTTTCAACAGGAGCAAGAGAAGACAGCTCTTCATTTTGACTTTGGCTCATCAGCTGCCTCTGGTGGAACCTAGAAACCAACAACCTGCTGTCATCTCCGCCAATAAGAAGACATGCTCTCCTGACGCCCCGGTTAATATGCTACGACAGAATCCTAACAAGCCTGCAAGGGCATCTTTAGCCACTGACAAACTATAGTCTCCTTGAAAGCACTGTGTAAAAAAGTTAAGATTTTTTTTTAACTGTTAGATAAAGATGGGGATGTCAGCAGATACCTGTAAAGCCAGCACTGTGGAGCTAGAGGCAAGAGGATCAGAAGCTCAAAGTCACCCTCTCCACATGATGGGTGGAAGGCCAATCTAGTTTACATGAGACCCTGTCTCAATCTATACAACTAACTGTCCACATGACCTTATACAAACATAATTTCATATGTGAAAACCCTGAAAGACAGGATCTCTGATAAGAGAAAGGATTACTAAACACTCTGGCCATGTTTGTTAACATGAGCACTTAACATGCTACACGAGGCACCTACCTATATTAAAGGCCAAATACTTTTCTTGAGGTATTGTAACTCAAACTCAGGGTCTAACACATGCAAGGCAGATCTACCACTGGGTTATAACTTTGGCATTGACAAAACTCCCATTCTTCCAATGTCATACTGTTTGGTTCTCCCACTCAAGAACTGCTTAACAAAACAACTGCCATGAACAAGCTACACCGTGTAACTCAGCTTCCCTACAGTGACAAAGGACCATGTGTCCAGATGTATGCCCTCTAACCACAGAAAGTCTGAGGTACCTTCACCTCCAAATCCCTCAGTGCCACAAATAAACGGGCTTACCTCTGCTTACTCAGAATCTTCTCAAGTTTGGCATCCTCTGCAGTCTGAAGGCCCAGTGCAGAAATAAGAGGACAGACTGTAGCCAGGTACTGCACAAGCTGGATGTGCTGGCCAGGCCGATATGCTCGTCCCTTGCCTTGACTATAAAGCCATTCAGCTTTCAAACTGGGAAATAAGAGATGATGGCACAGGAGTGGTCAAAATATATTCCTTTTTTTAAAAATATTTATTTATTTATTTATTATGTATACAATATTCTGTCTATGTGTATGCCTGCAGGCCAGAAGAGGGCACCAGATCTCATTACAGATGGCTGTGAGCCACCATGTGGTTGCTGGGAATTGAACTCAGGACCTTTGGAAGAGCAGGCAATGCTCTTAACCTCTGAGCCATCTCTCCAGCCCCTCAAAATACAATCTTCAGTAACTGATCTTCCTTGTGAATTTACCATATAATACTACAACATGATTTCATTAAAAAAAATATTCATCTTATTTGCTTATTTTTAGCTAAATTTTCTGGGTGGTGGTGGTAGTGGGGGGGGTGTGTGTGTGTGTGTGTGTGTGTGTGTGTGTGTGTGTGTGTGTTCCTGAGTGTGCACATGTGCATAAAAACTCATGTGCATGTGCAGTAGAGGCCAGAGGTTGAGGCTGAGTATCTTCTACTGCTCTCCACTTTAATTTTGAGACACAGTCACTCGTAGAGCTCACCTTTTGGCTAGGCTGGCTGGCCAGCAAGCTCCAGCACTCTGCGCATCTTTACATCCTCAGCAGTGGGACTGCAAATTTGTGCCACCATCCTTGCTTTTCTATCTATATTCCTTACTCACTCCCCTCGGTCTTAGATTTCAATTGTTTTCATAATTAGAGGAACTGTTCATACTAATGAGTCCAAGTATTTTTAAATTATTTTCAAAGAGGCAATGAGCATTCTCTCCATTTACTTTGTCAAACAGAAGCAATCTATGGGCTCTTAATGGCAGTTTTAAAAAATACCTAATTGGTCATTTTTTTAAACTGGTATAATGGGGACTAAATATTGTTAATTCTTTATTTCCTATACAAAATTTGTCAATAAATACTTAGTTCACATAAGTACTGAAACTAATAAAAACAACAGAATTTCTCGGTTTTGTAACCTTTAATGAATTAATGGTTTGGGGCATTATTAATAGCTACTAATAACAAAATAAACATCCAGACATTGAATATGACCCAATAGGATCTATAAAGTAGTTCTCCTTTTAAATCCTCAAAACTAGCTGGGCATGGGGATGCAGACCTTAATCCCAGTGCTTGGGAGACAGAGGCAGGCAGATCTCTGTGACCAGAACAGCCTGGTCTACATAGTGAGTTCCAGGACAGCCTGGGCTATGTAGAAGTATCATACCTCAAAAATAAAGGAAGGAAGGAAGGGAGGGAGGAGGGAGGGAAGGAGGGAGGAAGGAAGGAAGGAAGAAAGTCTCCAAACTGAATCTGATCACATCGTCATATCCAACCACCAATGTTTAGGTGATTCAGGAAAGAGGAAGATGCACACAAGAAACTGCCTGAGAACTACCCAGTCAGCATAGCCAACCTATGCAGTGTGCAATTGTAACAAACTGGTGGTTTTAGTTTTGTTGTTGCTTTAGGAGACAATGTCTCAATGTCAGCTGGGGCTGACCTTGAACTTGCTAATAGCTGAAGCTGGTAAAGCATTGGCCTAGCAAGCATGAATACCCGGATTCAATCCCAGGACCCATGTGAACCCAGCATGAAAGCAGGCCTGGAATCCAGCTCTGAGGGAATGAAAGCAAAGGGGTCAGATCATCCCTGGCTACACAGGGAGATACCTCAATAACAGCCTGGCTACATAAGACACTGTCTCACAAGAGAGAGAGAAAATTACAATCATAATATAAAATATGCCTCCTATAAACCATACTTTCTTTTTCTTTTTGTTTTATTTTGTTTTGTTTTGTTGTTTGGGTTTGGTTTTGGTTTTTCAAGACTGGGTTTCTCTGTTCATCTCTGGCAATCCCAGTAAAGAGAATAACCCATCGTGCCTTCCATCTCCACAGCCCACCTTCCTGAAGGCTCTAATGATCACACAACAGTCTCTAGAAGACGCAATCTTGGTGGGACAGATTCCCAGCTCCGAGATGCAGAGACCATCAGTGATCTAAGGATGAACTCACAGGCATCAGGTGAGAAACAGTATAGTATGTCTGCTTCAAGTTCCAAATTGAAGCACCATGTGCATTTTCCTAGTGCATCATAAAAGGACACTGGGTTCTAACATATTATTAACACCCCCTTTACACATATGATAGATAGATAGCAAGCTTTTGTGGGAGTAAGCCAAGATCTTGTATCATATTCATGTGGTTTCTAGGAAAAAATGTTACCATTTCTAAGCAATCAACAAAATGACTTTTAAAACATAGATTATTATAAGCTTGGCATTTAGAATTGCTAGTTCCAATCTCTAGGGCTAATATTCACTTTTCTCATATTTTTATTTTATGTGTATGAATATTTTTGCCTGCATGTATAACTACATACCAAATGCATTTGAAGGACATAAGAGCATCCCCAAGAACTAGAATTACAGCTAGTTGTGAACCATCATGTAAATGTAGGGAATAGAACCCAGGAAGAGCAGTCAGTGTTTATATCTGCTGAGCCATCTCTCCCTGCCCCCATCCCACCCCCTTTTTTCATATATAGTTGCTCTGTAGTTGAATATGATTTAAACTTCTGATCCTCCTACTTTCATCTCTCCAGTGCTGGAATCACAGGCATGCACCACCATGGCCAGTTTTATCAGAAAACCAGGGCTCTGAAATAGTCTCACGATGAAATAGAAGCTTGCTCTTTACTGGCTAGCCAACCATCTACCCACCCATTTCTGCCATCCGCTTCCCCATCCTGGGGCTACAGGTAAGAGAAGCTATCCTTGGCTTTCTACATGGGTTCTCAGGCCTGCAGAGCAAGGGCTTCAAACATGGTAGGCAAGCACTCTCCCAACTGAGCGGTATTCCTGACCCGAGGCTAGGTCTTATGTAGACCAGGTTGTTCTAGAACCAACAATGTATCCCGATGACAATGACTACCTAATTCTTCTATCCGTGCTTCTCAAGGGCTGGGATTACTTAAATGTGCCACAACACCTGCTCCCAGCCCCGATGTTTACCTTCTGCCTTTTCTAAGAAAGGAGAGATAAGCCTGAATTGCCAGCACAATCTGAGCTATGATTATACCAGCATTTTTAATTTAAAAAAAAAAACTATCTTTTCTCATTTTACATTCCAATCCCAGGGGCTGGAGAGATGGCTCAGAGGTTAAGAGCATTGCCTGCTCTTCCAAAGGTCCTGAGTTCAATTCCCAGCAACCACACGGTGGCTTCCAACCATCTGTAATGGGGTCTGGTGCCCTCTTCTGGCCTGCAGGCGTACACACAGACAGAATATTGTATATATAATAAATAAATAAATAAATATTAAAAAAAAAGAAACATTCCAATCCCAGTTCCTACTCCCTCCCCTTCTCCCACTCCCTCCACCTTTCCCCCCACACCACCCCCCATTCACTGATCAGATATGGTAAGGCTTCCCATGGGAAATCAACAAAGTCTAGAACATTGCTTTGAGGCAGGACCAAGGCCCTCCCCACTATATCTAGGCTAAGCAAGATATCCTTCCAAAGAGAATGGGTTCCAAAAAGCCAGTACCAGTCTCACTGCCAGTGGCCCCACAGTCTGCCCCAGTCATACAACTGTCACCCACATGCAGAGGGACTATGCTGGTTCTCCCACAGTCAGTGAGCTCCCATTAGCTCAGGTAAGCTGTATAGATAAGATCTCCTGAGAAAATTGGGAGTGTGAGGGTCGGAGGAGAAGGGAGGGTGAAAGGGAAGGAGGAGGGAATGGGGGGGGTGGACGAGAACTGAACAGAACGGGATGATCAGGTGGGGGAAGGACAGAGAGGAGAGCAAAGAAAGAGATATCTTGATTGAGGGAGACATTATGGGGCTAGCACTAGAAAAATTCCCAAGAATCTACAAGGATTACCCCAGCTAAGACCCTAAGCAATTGTGGAGAAAGTGACAGAACTGGCCTTGTCCTGTAGTAAGATTGATGACTAATTTTTTTTTTCTTTTTGGTTTTTCCAAGACAGGGTTTCTCTGTGTAACAGCTTTGACTGTCCTGGAAATCTCTTTGTAGAGCAGGCTGGCCTCAAACTCACTGAGATCCACCTGTCTCTGCCTCCCAAGTGCTGGGATTAAAGGTATACTCCACCACCACCCAGCTTGATGACTATCTTAAATGTCATCATAGGACTTTCATCCAGCAACTGATGGAAGCAGATACAGAGATTCACAGCAGAACATTGGGCTAAGCTCCCAAAGTCTGGTCAAAGGGAGGCAGGAGCAATAAATGAGCAAAGGGGTCAAGACCATGATGGAGATACCCAGTGAAACAGCTTACCTGGACATTTTTAATTTGTAAATATACGCTCTTTAAGAAAAACTCAGCAATTAATCTATAGCAAAATAGAAATGATATTTCCGAAAAAATTCCTTGATTGAGACAATTTTAAGCAGATCTTGTTCACCTTTCCTTCTGGGAAATCACGTATCCATCGAGTACTCTGAGATTTAAGCACCAGTTGACGATGTACGGCCGATAGTCAAACCCTGGAATGGACGGTGTTGCCATCACACAAGGATTGTTCATGATTGACAACTGCTCCAATTCACTTAAAGAGGCCAAAAACGAGATCTAAAACAAAAGACATCCTTGTTGAACAAAATGAATGTTCAGTGTCAAGCACAGGGTTTCCGCTGATTACATAACTTTGGCAGCATTTGAGAATGTCACAATTTCCCTCTTGTTCTAAAAAGCATTAAGCAATTCTCTACGATTAGCCACTGACTTCCAAAATTCTAAAAACCTGGTCATTTGTTCTTGCTGCACAAGGAAAAACATCAATATTATTTCTTAATTAAGAAAACCATATTTACTTCCTTTGAGGCAGGGTCTCATTTAACCCAGACTGATCTTCAGCTTTAACCCTCCTGTTTCCATTTACTAAGTGCTGAGATTACAGACATCAAGGACTTTGCCTGACTTGAGAAAGCCCTATTGGGAAACATAATAGAGGCCATGAAAAAGTGGACAGGTTGCCTTATTGACCCCTGTAAAGTAGATGTCTGTCTCCTACCAATCACCAGGAATGATCACTGCAGCCTTACAACTGAAGTTCAGCCTCATGACCTCCAATGCTAAGAAAAGGAGAAAGAAAGACGCTGATGCTCCAGGACCAGATGTTTCACCAGGGCAGTAATTCTCCCACGGTGATCTAAAATGAGCTTGAGAACCTCTCTTATCTCTCCTGCACTTCCCCTTCCTGGACCCCACAGAGTCCTGCACCTCCCCTTCCTGGATCCCACAAAGTCCTGGACTTTTTCCTTCTTGGATCCCAGAAGGAAAGATCCCAGAGTCAAATTTTACCTCATTTAAGTCTCGGATTTCATTTTCTGCCAAAGACAATATAGAAAGGCTTCTGGGTAGATATGCAGGTGCCATTCTAAGAGAAGTGATGATGTTTCCATGTAAAAGCAAGGTCTTGAAAGAAAAAAGAATACAAATCAACAAATAATAAATAAATTGACTTGCCAATGCCAAAATAGAGCATCCAAGAATAAAAAGACCTATTTTGTTATATTCCTTATCACACAAAAATCAAAGATTAATACTTAGAAGGCTCCTAAGTGGTCTTTAGCCTTAAACCAAGGGTTTAAGACTTATGCAAGAAGACGTAATTGATGTGATCTGGCTTTGCTATGATATACTAGCATGATATACAATTTAAGTTAATACACAAAGCAATTTCCAACATAGTTATTCATTTCCTTTTAAAATAACAAAATAAATACGGATGTGGTAGCACACGCCTTTAATCCCAGCACTGAGGAGGCAGAGGCAGACTGATCTCTGAATTTGAGACCAGCTGGGTCTACAAAGTGAGTTCCAAGACAGCCAGGACTACACAGAGAAACTCTGTCTCAAAAAAAAAAAAAATCAAACACCAAAAACAAAACAAAACAAACAAACAACAAAAATATATATATATCAAAATAAGGGCTGGAGACATAGCTTGGTGGATAAGAGTGTTTGCTCTACAACCATGAGGGCCTGTTAGCAAATTTGCAGCATCTGTGAGAAAATCTGGGCACGGTAGCTAATACCTGCGACCCCAGCACTGGGGGCAGAAAATAAGGGGATTTCTGGCCAGCTAGTCAAGAGCTAAGAGTGAACTTCCAATTCGGTGACAGACTATTTCAAAGTAAGAAGGTAGAGAGGGATAGAGGAAGACACCCAGCATCCTGTCCTAGCCTCCATACCCGCACACACAGGAGTGTTCAACTGTACTCCTGTCCATGCATCACACCTACCACACATGCATACATGCACATAAAATAAAATAATCGTGTAGAAGGCGATTATTGTAAAATTTTGTAAAAGAGACAGATAAGTCACAATTCATACTTTATAACTACATTTTTTGCTTAGTTGAAGCCAAAGAAAGGTAGAAATTATTGCTTGCAGACATAGCTGACCCATATTAAGTCAGCAATAAAAAAGAATAAATCTAAGAGGTAGAGGATGTTTCAGAGGTCAAGAGTGCTTACTGCTCTTGCAGAGGCCTAGGTTTAGTTTCCATACCAGAGGCTCACAACCACCTGTGGCTCCAGCTCCAGGCTATCCAATGCACTCTTCTGTCTTCCTGTGCACTTGCATGCACATAGAATATATACAGATAACCAGGCACCCACACACATACACATAAATAAAACAAATAAACCATTTAAAAAGAACAAGTCTAAGATACTCTAAACATTCAGGATTCTGTTTAGTTAGTCATATATCCATTCCAAGGAGAAAAAAGTTATAACTAAAAGAAAAATACACAAAATATCCAATCATCTTTTAGTTCTTTTGAGTTTTCTTAGCATTTATTGGAATAGTTGGATACATAAAATTGTTTAGAATCATTGTTGTCATAAAATTATTTCTGCTCAATGTGTAGGGAAAATAGAGCTTCAGATTCACATCTAAGGCTTGAAAAGTCTACCTGGTGCTAATAATATTCAAAATATTATTAATATTATAAAATTCAAAATATTAATATTATAGTATTTATTTTATTACATTATAATGTACTTTATAATATAATAATAAAAATATTTATAAAATATAAATTAATAAATTATTAGAATTAATAATAATACTAAGCAAAAATACAGAAAAAATATACAGATGAATTTTTTATATTTTATCACTTATTTTATGTTTGTTGGTGTTTTGCCTACTTGTATGTCTGAACCATGTGTGTATCTGGTGCCTGTGGAAGTCAGAAGAGGGAATTTAGATCCCCTGAAATTTAGATTCCCCAGGATAGCAGACAGTTCTAGGCACCATATGGTACTGGGACTCAAACCCAGGTCCTCTAGAACAACAACCAGTGCTTCGAACCATTGAGCTATCCCTCCACCTTCCATGTCTATTAAGTGTAACTAGCTTTGTTAACTAAATTATACTTAAGTATAATACTAAGTAAAAAATACTTAGTATTGAAAACAGCATCCTTGAGAATAGGAAAAATTAAACAGATAAACGAAACCACATAGACACACCAAACAGACAGCTGGATGGAGACTTAGGGAAATGGATCACTTGCATTCAAGACCAACCTAGACAACATAGTGATACCTCATCTAAAAAAATATAAAGCTGGGCATGGTGGCACATGCCTTTAATCCCAGCACTCTGGAGGCAGAGGCAGGCAGATCTCTGTGAGTTTGAAATCAGTCTGTCTACATAGCCAGGACAGACAGACAGACAGGCAGAGCTATATAATAGAGAGATCCTATATTTAAAAAAAAAAAAGACTTAACTTTAGGATGGATTACTTTAAGCTTTACTAGAATACTGTGTGTGTATTTTATATATATATTATAATTTATATAATATATATTAAAGTCCCTAGCATTAGTTAAATTCATCACATTCAGAGGATGGGAAATAAGAAATAACTAACTACAATGACTATTTTCATATAAAATAAATAAATCACTTATAGGCACTAACAATCAATTTGGGGTGGCCTAAAGTGTTCTTATGCCTCAAGAGTACATACTCTTGTGCTCAGGAGTTCTAGAAATAATCAGGGCGATACAGTAAGACTTTGTCTCCAAAAAGAGAAAGAAAAAGTTCTTATATTTTTAAAACAAAAACAATCTGGCAAGCATATTGGCAAATACCTGTAATTCCAGCACTCTGGAAAAATTAAGAAAGCTCAAGGAGGACCTGAGAGGTGAGCCTAGGCTTTACTGGGAGACCCCTTCAAAAGGGGGGAGAGAGAGGAGAGGTTCTTAATATACAATATATGGCAGGCTGAGTTTATGTCAATGAGACCACATCTTTAGTAATTTTTTATTTGTGATAGTTTTTAAGAGCTAACAGAAGACCCCTTACCTTCAAAGACACCAGTTTTGACAGGTCACCTATCTGAGGTATGCTATTGTCTGACAAGTCCAGGTGTTGGAGCGCTGTGCAGCTATTGATTTGCTCCATGGTCTATTACAAGAAAAGCATCACATTAGTCAGTGCACTTAAAATCAAAAATCAAAATTGTTCCCTAATTCTTTGCAGCTGAGCCCCCGCCTCCTCTTGTCACTAGATGCACAGCAGCGGAGCTGAGCAAGACAAGGGGGGAAAGAGAGAGCAAAATTCAGAAAGTAGCCAAGTTGCAAGCTTTCAAGAACACCAAGCAATTCATACCATCTCAGATATTTATAGCCCAAAGAAACTTCAATGGCATCGAACTGCTAGCCGAGAAAAGAATTCACAAATTTAGAATGAAGCCACACAGTCTATTAAATCCTGGCTCCATGGTCAGGGAGGACCAGAGTCAAGGCAGTGTCTTCTAGGCATTATGGGACCACGGCACTCATGAACTCACAGCAGCTGAGTTCATGACCTGCACAAGAGCAAGCCAGTTAACAGTTTAGCACAGAGGGAGAAGGCGTCTGAGCCCCACCCCTGAGGACCTACGGATAGTTAATGTCTTCTGAGAAAGGGACACTCAGCTGTCCTTAAGAGTATGACTCCTAGTAAGTCAACTACATCTAGTAAACGGCACCACACCCAGGAAGACATAAACAGCATAAATTCGACTCAATGTGTCATTTTTTAGAAAAGTACATACAAAGAGAGGAAATCAAGTTGAGTAAGGAGGTGGGGATGGATCTGGAAAGTTAGGGAAGGTGTGGTAGATGAATATAATCAAAATATGCTGTATGTTGTGTGAAATTCTTCAAGAATGAATTAAATATATATATATATATATATATATTTTAATTTTTGGGTCTGCAACTTCTTGGATGTACGAATTGGAACAAGCACTAGCTTCTCTGTGCTTCAGTTTCCCTATCTATGTAAGCCTGACAACTCTATCTACTTCACAGGCTGACATGCGCTCACTACAGACACTTAGGAAAGTACCTAGCAGCAGGTAGCTGCTCAGTAAAGACAACGGTTATTATCAATTACTCTAGTCCCCTTACCTGGCACATCAGAAAACAGATACAGAAATGTTTGCTAACTTGTCCAAAATTATATATCCCTGTGTACAAAGTAGGAAAGATAGAATATAGATCTCTTGACTTAAAAAAAAAATTCCATGTACCATTAAAAATTTACTTAAAAGTTTAACTCAATAGGAAAAAATCTCTTTCCTCATGACTCTAGTATTTGATTTACTTTTTTCAAGTATAATATAGATTCTCTGTTCACATTTGAAAGAATACTATACTGTGGTATATGTTCAAAATGGAGGCTTTTTAAAGTTTATGCTAATACAGATTGTAGAAGTAGATATTTTCATTTTTTAATCCACTTATTTATATACTTGCCAAGTTTCTTTTTCATAGAGAACAGATTTGCTATGAAAAAAATCAAAAGTTAATTACCAAGAAAAAAAAAAAGCCATTCACCTTCAGATTATTTCCTGCTAAATTCAGCCATTCCAAATGGACTAGGTCCTTCAGTCCTTCCACACAGCCAATACTATTATGAGGTAAATTTAATACCCGGAGTTGAGTAAGTTTGGCCACGCCCATCATCCGAACCAGCCGATTATTAGCCACTGACAACTATGAAAAGGGAACATTATTACTCCTAGAAACAAATATATACATCCACACATATTACTTTCACACTACAGTAGATGGTCAAACATTACCCAAATACACACACCCACCTTCTATTTTTTACATATATTATTTACATCTACACCTACAATATAACTACTGGAGTTTGTTCTTCTAATCAACAAAAAGTATAGGTTAAGTCTGTTATGGGGTAACCAACTGATGCCTGCTCCACAGGAAGGAATTCACATGTGTTATTGTAAACCCACCCAAAACCCGTGGCTGGAGATGACATAGCCTAGCGAAAAAGCAACTGACGACTTTTGCTAAGAGGACATAATGTACGCATCAAATTGCCTTCTAAATAGCTGCATGCACAGCAAAGAACAGGGTCAGCTATTTAGTGCTGTCAGCTCTACTCAGAGACGCTTCCTTTGCAGTGATTAGTGGCGACTGCAGAGACTCATAGCTGATCAAAGTGCAGGAAACAAATAAATAGCTGCTACGTGCCCAGTCGGAAGTAAGACATTTGTAACATCCCTTCCAGGGCTCCAGGAGTGTGGTGGGAAAAGGGGTAGAAAGAACGTGAGAGCAGGGGAAGGGGGAAAGCATGGAATATTGACTTCTGGGCATGACATGGCTGTTGTGTTTTTTGTTTCGTTTTGTTTTTCTTTTGGTATTTCAAGACAGGGCTTCTCTGTGTAGCCCTGAGTGCCCAGGAACTCACCGTTTCATATATATAAGCTCCACAAAAAATGTCTTCATAACATTAGGTAGACTAAATAAACACTTCTTGTTTATTTCCTAGTTTTGGTAGAGTACTGACGACTAAACTTAGGGCTCTGAGTATGCTAAGCGTGTACTCAGCCATCAACACATCCAACCCCAACATCCTTGGATGAATAAACTCTTTACCCCCAATATGAAGTATAAATTATATTAACACAATATTTCGTCAACATATAATGTTCTCTTTAAATCTACATCTATTTATTTATGGGACTAGAAAGATGGCTCGATAGCTAAGAGCACTTGCTATCCTTCCAGAGGATCAGAGGTCAGTTCCTAGACCCAAGTCAGGCGGCTCACAACCATGTGTATAACCACCCTCCAGCTCCAGGGAATCTGATCGCTCTTCCGGCCTCCACATGTACTCATATACATATGGCATACGTTCATACAGATATGCACAAATAAACATAAATAAAGCAAATAAACAAGAAATTAAAAATTTTTAGAGAGTGTGTGTATGTTCAAGCAGTGCACTTGCAGGCACTCTGGAGCAGGCATACAATCAAATGTCACCAGCATACTCTCAGAAGTCAGTTCTCTCCTGCCTTGGGGTACACACAGCTCAAACTTTAGGCCTTTGCACAACCTCTCCTACCTACTGAGCCATCTTGCTGGCCCTATTTCCACTTTTTACCACTACTGCTTTTTCTAGACCACTGTAAATGTAAGATAGATAGATAGATAGATAGATAGATAGATAGATAGATAGATAGA